TAATTTTAGGGTGTTTTCATCCATATCGGGTGAACCATTTAGACATTTCAGCACTTTTTGTACATAGTCCCCCATTTTAGGGGACTAAAAGTATTAGGACAAATTCACTTATATGTGTATTAAAGTAGTCAAAAGTTTAGTATTTGATCTCATATTCCTAACACGCAATGAATACATCAAGCTTGTGACTCAACAAACTTGTTGGATGCATTTGCTGTTTGTTTTGGTTGTGTTTCAGATTAGTTTGTGCCCAATAGAAATTACTAGTAAATAATGTATTGTGTCATTTTGGAGTCACTTAAGAATATAATATCTTTCTAAACAATTCTACATTAATGTGGATGCTACCATGATTATGGATAGTCTCGAATGAATCGTTAATAATGATGAGTTAGAAAGTTACAGACGCACAAATATCATACCCCCAAGACATGGGGGGGGGGGGGGGGGGGGCTATATTTGTGGGTCTGTAACTTTCTCACTCATAATTATTCACGATCAATTCAGGGCTATCCCTAATCACGGTAGCATCCACAATAATGTAGCATTGTTTAGAAATATATTATATTCTTAAGTGACTCCAAAATGACACAATACATTATTTACTAGTAATTTCTATTGGGCACAAACTAATCTGAAACACAACCAAAACAAACAGCAAATGCATCCAACAAGTTTGTTGAGTCACAAGCTTTATGTATTCATTGCGTGTTAGGAATATGAGATCAAATACTAAACTTTTGACTACTTTAATACACATATAAGTGAATTTGTCCCAATACTTTTAGTCCCCTAAAATGGGGGACTATGTACAAAAAGTGCTGAAATGTCTAAATGGTTCACCCGATATGGATGAAAACACCCTAAAATTAAAGCTGACAGTTTTCAATTCAACCTCATAGTAATTGTATAATTTCAAATCCAAAGTGTTGGAGTACAGAGCCAAAACAACAACAAAATGGTCACTGTCCCAATACTTTTGGAGCTCACTGTAAGTATGCCCCCAATGCAATTCCAAAGTCTAATACATCCACAGTGTGAGTTCAACAGATCTTTTCTTTTTTGTGTCAAATTAACTCATTATTGTGTTTTGTTGAAGTTATATAACAAAATTCTGACCTTGTTTAGCATTATCTAGTCCAAATATGTCATGATTGCACTATTTGTGTCTGTTTGTATCACTTTCAATGGGGGACTTTTATTTTGAAGGCAAACCGCAAATTCCACGATTGTGGCTAATCCTTATTGTGGCTAGCATTACACAGGTGCGCTGTGGGTGACTACTACTGCCTGAATCAGTCTTGTTTTAATGGAATTAACTTTTGTTGGAACATCATCTCCCTACAACACTTGCTAAACGGTGAGAATAACAGCACTGGAGTGGGAGGTTGAAAGACCATGTTGTGGTGAATTGACGATACATTATTGTATATTCAGGATGTAGCTAGTGATTTGTAGCAGTATGTTAACGCCAGCTAGCTAGCCAGCTGTTTTGACGTTAGTATAATGTGACAAGATGATGGGACCGAGGCCCATTGCTAGCTAGCTAACGTTAGTAGCTAAAGTGTTTGACAGTTAGTCAAGCTATCTTGTTGACACTAACTAGGTAGCTACGCTATTGATTTGCACAACGTCGACGCTGAAGCAAAATGTGACAGCTACAGCTGTGTACTGGGATGTCATATCAAATAATTAATTCCATTTCCATCCTGTGTGAAAAATGCGACACTGCTCGTAAATTATGATGGCCTGCCACAACGTTAAGCTTGATTGCCAGTTAGCAATATGTGGCTACAATTATTCATGAATAAGATACAGATTAAAGACACGTTAGATAAAACTAAAAGTTGTTTACTAGTCAAACATATTTGGAGCAAATTCTAACGGTAAATTAAGCTAGCTAGCTCGTTGCTTGATCAGCTGGCTTGCTTGTGGTCAGCCATGGCGGTTAGCTATGTGGTTATGGTTTCATAGCACGTAGCTAGTAATGCATAGGTTGCAACACAGGCCTGTCACCACCTCCCCATACAATGTGAATCTGTAGTTATGAAATTGCTTTACAATATTATTTATTTTCCAGCCTGATCTTGAATCGACCTACCATGTAAATAACCCCCACCCGTCCCGCATCACACAATAGCTAGAATTAAAGATTACTAGCAAAAGTAGCTAGCTACCACTTCCCCTATTTTCAGTAGGCTTTATTGAATGCAGTTCCTAGTATCAGCCCAGCAGATGATGTTGTAGCTACACCAACAACAGCTGTACAATAGGATCTTGGCATGCATGGTCCTTCAGATCTGGCATTGTCCTGTCTTGCACACAAGCCTAAGATCGCCAAGCGTCTGCTGGAGTGGTGTAAAGCTTGCCGCCATTGGACTCTGGAGCAGTGGAAACGAGTTCTATGGAGTGATGAATCACGCTTCACCATCTGGCAGTCTGACAGACACATTTGGGTTTGACGGATGCCAGGAGAACACTACCTGCCCCAATGCATAGTGCCAAGTCTGGTGGAGGAGGAATAATGGTCTGGGACTGCTTTTCATGGTTCGAGCTAGGCCCCTTAGTTCCAGTAAAGGGAAATCTTAATGGTACAGCATATGACATTCTAGACGCTTCTGTGCTTCAAACTTTGTGGCAACAGTTTGGGGAAGGCCCTTTCCTGTTTCAGCATCACAATGCCCCCATGCACAAAGTGAGGTCCATACAGAAATGGTTTGTCGAGATCGGTGTGGAAGAACTTGCCTGGCCTGCACAGAGCCCTGACCTCAACCCCATCGAACACCTTTGGGATGAATTGGAACACCGACTGCAAGCCAGGCCTAATCGCCCAACATCAGTGCCCGACCTCACTAATGCTCTTGTGGCTTAGTGGAAGGAAGTCCCAGCAGCAATGTTCCAACATCTAGTGGAAAGCCTTCCCAGAAGAGCGGAGACTGTTATAGCAGCAAAAGGGGGGACCAACTCCATATTAATGCCCATGATTTTGGAATGAGATGTTCGACGAGCAGGTGTCCACATACTTTTGGTCATGTAGCCTATATGGTCTACTGAAAAGGGTTCTCTGAGGACTGTCAGCAGTAGTTTCACTCCTGTGTGCTGCTGCATTCCTCTTCCCTTTTTACCCATCCTCCCACATAGCCACACATTCATGCTGAAACGCCTCAGACTGACCTATTTTAGCTCTTACACTATTCCTGCCATGGAAGATTGTTGTGCTGCTACATCTCCAAAGCTTGCTTACAAAGACCTTAAAAACCAGTAGTCGGTTGTTTCTATTTGACCATATCCCCACAGTTTGACGTGGTCTCTGCATTGACTTCTTGTGCACTGTTAGCGCATTCATAGATGGTAATGTTAAACATATACGGTCTATTCACAAACCTGTCTGCCGCCCAGTGGCAAAGCTTGGATGTTAAAGGAGTAGACTCGCCTACACTCCATAACAGTACATTATTGGGCACAGTCTGTGATTTAAATATGAATATAAGCCTAAATGTAATTTTTAAGCTAAAATGCTGTAGGATACATGAACTGAGCATCATCAACCCGTCATCATGAGAAAATACAACTTGCAACACAGAAACCGAGAGGTAACAGAGACACCTGTCAGACTTCCTAGTTCGAGCTGCATTTCGATGGTCACAGCATTGGGGTCAGTGCATAGCAGAACATAGCCTAGCTGAGGTTAGCTGGTAACAGCTTTCGTTGATGTTTCTGAAAACCCCACCAAAGCAGCCCATAGAGCCCAGGAGGAGGTCCTGGGACAGCAGACGAGGGGGGGAGGGGGCGAGTGGGCTGTTCAGTATTTCCGCTGGTTGGTTCCCATACATAGAGGACAGACATCCTATCAGAGACTTGCCGTCTAGACTCATACTCAACCAGCTGCTTTGGACAGCACCTCAAAGAACAGCTCACATTTCTTGGGAAACTTTCTTCCTCACTCACTATAAATATTTTTGCTGTTTTTAGCTGCTTACCAACTGTGTTTCTCCTGCCCTGGGTTCAGAGTCTAGGTCCACACCCCAGTTCTCTCTTCGGCTGTTTGATCATCCATGCAGGCCTTCGGCCTGAAGGAGGGTGTCAGGCATACATGGTGACTATGCTAACATCTTAAGGCTGCTGGAAACCTGATCTCTGAATTTATTTCACTTCATCTGAGTGTTGATTCAGTGCCTCAGTTCAGTTAATCTCCACCAGTCTTTGTCTTACTGAGGTGACTGAGGGCAATGCTGTTGTTGTACATCTAACCTCTTAACTTCTACAGCTGACTTCCTGTAATGACTGTGTTTCTCAGGGTTTGTGTTGAGATTGGATAAAGACGGAGTCTTGTCATCCATCAGTAGGCCTATCTCACTATTTTGTGTTGAGTGGATGAACAGTCTTCTCTTCATCACAGTATCTCACTATTCCCACTACGCTGGCAGTGATAACATCACCCTCTGTATCATGCTGTTGTTCTGTGATGCAGAGTGGCACGTAGCAGCTACAGAACGCTTATGTTGGCCAGTGTCAATCTTGCACCTTACTGACCCCTTACAGTGATGTGTGGAGATAACCACACCTCTAGACATACTGCAGGTCCTTCTAACCTATGTACAGCAGAGGAGGCTGGTGGGAGGAGCTATAGGAGGGCGGGTTCATTGTAATGGCTGGAATGGAATCGATCATCAAATCAAGTTTATTTATAAAGCCCTTTTTACATCAGCAGAGTGCTTATACAGAAACCCAGCCTAAAACCTCAAACAGCAAGCAATGCAAATGTAGAAGCACGGTGCAGATGGAACGGAGTCAAACATGTTTTCCGTATGCTTGACACCGTTCCATTAATTCCATTCCAGTCTTTACAATGAGCCCATCCTCCTAATGCTCCTATCAATGTTTTTTATTCTTATCTTTGAGACTTGTTAGTAAGTCAGAATTGAATGATATCAAAATGCATTTGATGCCATCTCTCTCTCATCTCTCTCTGTCCTTCTCCTCTTTCTCTCCTTCTACAGGTGAGTGGCTAGTCCGCCACGCCCTCGTTGCCATGGATGCCTGTGCCCGTATCCGAGGAGTTCCTCTCAGGACCAGAGCCTCCATCAGGAAAGAGGTTAGTCAGACTGCCATCTTCTGATTGATTGACTGGTCGATTGGTTGATTTCATTTCATTCTTGATAACCTGGTGCTGTGTGTGAGGCCGTTCATGTGTGTAACCTGAGGTAACCTCTAATTGTGTGTATGTTGTAGGCGGTGCGTGACGGTGGGACTCAGTGTATGAAGAGCCTTCTGAGCAGCAGAAAGGAGCTGTGCAGCGTGGGACTGGAGCTGCAGACCAGAGACGCACCATGCCTGACTGAGGTATGTGTCACATCTCTCACACACACACACTTTGATTATGACTTCATGATATGCAGGATTTTCCTGACTTGTCCCTTTCTTCCCTCAGATCCATTTTGTGTGTTTGCCTGGCCACTCTGAAGGGGAGGATCTAACTCTACAGGTGAGAGTTACTGCACCAGCTCTGACTTATGTAGTTCAATTATTGTGTTATTAATTGATGTTATTAACGTGTTATTTGTGTGATGCTCTGTCCCTGTCCCAAGGCCCTGTCGTCTCTCCCGGGGGACCTGGCGGAGCTGCTGAGGTCTCTCCACGTCACCAGCCTGAGGAATGAAGAGGTGCTGCTACTGAAGGACAGCAGGAGATCAGCCGACAAGAGGGACTCTGCTACACAGGTTAATATGACAGGAGAGGAGAGGAAGTTTCTAATAGGTAAAGGGGAGAGACTGTGTTTCTCAGGTCTATAGACTGCTTCAGAGGAAATACAGTATTTCACAGGTAAATAAGAGTTCAATATCGTTTTGAAGCTGGTTCACAGGACCTTCCTTAGGCTGTATGCTAAGGCCTGAGAGATTCTCTGTGTTTTCACCCTGTTGGTCAGAGCCATGTGTACAGATGTCTGGGATAGTGTGGCCGCTTGTTTTCTCACCACTGATTGCCACATTGTCCTGCCTGGTCCATGTGTCTGCTAGTGTTCAGTCTGGCTCTGCAGCTTTGTGGTTACATTGTTTGTGACTGACAGACATGCTGACATATGTGTGGTTACAGTGTGTGTGACTGACAGACATAAACTGAAAGGCAGTGCAACTAAAACTCAGCCCCTCTACCCACTGTGGCCAAGATAGAAGTGGCACAGAGTGTTCTATTCTGCATATACAACAACACATCAGACTACAATCAGACATGCAGACATAACAACGCTGTCCAAGTAGAGCCCCTCTCTCTCTGTAAGACACAGCCAGAAGAATAGAAAACTACTGTGTGAGTTTACATATCCAGAGACTCTCAGATGATTAGCAAGCTTTGGTCTGATGCACTCCCGGACATGGCAGGCGCTGACAGTCTGCAGACTCTGTTTACCAGTGACAAGTGTTCTAGTTTTTTAATTCCTCAAAGAGCTGATTGTCCCTTTGCAGTAAGAATAAACAACTGTACCAGGCAGCCAGCAAACGGACTCTTTTCTCTCTCCTCCACAGCAGCAGTGCTGGCTGAAGGCGGTGTGTGTTCTGAGACCCAGCCCCAGCCAGGCCATTGTTGGTGTGTTGGTGGGCCTGCTGGGGCGTTACGCTGTCGGGGTCCGCTATGCCCTGGAGCTCCAAGCCCTCCACAGGGGCACGGCTGAGCCCTGCCAGCCCGAGGACGATAACACCAACCAGTCTGTGTCGTCCATCGAAGACGACTTCGTCACCGCTCTGGAACACCTAGAGGAGGAGGAGGACAACTGTAGGTTTATCACAACTCTATGTAGCTGGACGTTCAATAGAGATTGATGTGTTCATTCACTGTTGCATAATCTGAAGTGTTTATTAAATGAAGACAACCTCATTTACCACTACTCTCTATCCCTCTTGTCTCTCTCCCTAGCCGATGGCTCTTATCGCCATGGAAACAAGCGTGATGTGGCCTCCCAGACTGTCCCCACCCACAAGAGAGACAAGGACCTATCCGGCTCCAGAATCATAATCAGCTCTGCCCCCAGGAAGTCCTTAACCAATTGCAGGTCTCCCCCAGAGGTGTCCATTACCGTACAGCACTCCAGAGGGGCAGAGTCCCAGTGGACCCTCTGCAGCCCAAGAGCCCGGCTCCCCTCCCCCACACGCCCTGTCAGCGAGTCAGAGGAATCGGACGGCTCAAGCCCTAGTCCAATCATCTTTCTAGATGAGGTTGGCTACCAGAAGAGCCTCAAAGCGACACTGGACATCCCTCGGATCCCTGGGTGGCCAACGGACAGGGTGGAGGACTCTGACTCTGAGGTCAGCGAGTTCTTCGACAGCTTTGACCAGTTTGACGACCTAGACGAGCTGAGCTCAGAGAGCTGTACACTCACTCTGCCTCTAGACCCGACATCCTCCGTTACCACCACCGGCACAGACCAGAAGAAGAAGTACTCTGAGGCTGGTACTGGCAAGTCAGGGTCCAAGAAAGTGTCCCGAAGCTGTTCCACCATGAACCCCCACCGGTTTGACCAGCGCACCCTCCCTGCCAATGTGAAGAAACCCACCCCACTCAAAAGCCCCCTTCCCCCTGGCTCTCCCTATGGATCCCCTGACTCCCCCCGGCCGGCCCCGATCTCTTGTGAGGAGAGTGGAGGTCCTCTGTTCAGCCCTGTCAGCTCCTCAGCCTTCAGCCCTTTGGGAGACGGAGGAGCTCTGGATTTCTTCTGGAAGACCGAGGGAGAGGTAGGAGACGAGTCAGAGCTACGGAAACCCCAGGACCTGTGTTCCCTCTACAAGACCTACTCAGACTTCGCCAGCAGTCTGTCCAAGGAGATCTTGGGCTCCGTGTGTGGCTACCAGTCTCCCGTGGACATCAACGACAACAAGAACCTGAGCTGTGTCTGCCACAAGGAGTTCCAGAACCAGTCTGGACACGTCATGAAGCTGTCTGAGATCCAGGAGATGGTGACTCTCTCCAAACTGCAGCAGAAGCCCCAGTCTCTGAAAGACGGCATCCAAAGGTTCGCTACAGACTTAGTAGAGATGAGTCTGGGCAGCGCCCTGAGAGACCTGCAGAAGGGAATGTCCTCCTGCACCACCACGCTCTGCCACCTGGCCGCCAGAATCACCTCTTCGGTCTTCCAGATGGCCTTCCAGGAGATCGGCATGCGCCACGCCTACGTCCTGAAGGAACGGGCCATCAACGGGCTGGCTGGGTTCCTGGTGGGCGAGGCAGTGTCAGGTGCTCTGAAAGACTTCCTGATGGTGAAGAAGCAGATGTTCAACAGCACGGTGACGCAGTTCGCCGCCGACCTGGCAGAGGAGCTGGTGTTTGAGGGGATGATGGAAGTGTGTCAGTTCTCCCACCCCTCCACCCCCCTCACCCCCAGCGATTGGTCCTTTGGGGTGGGGGAGGAGGACGATGAGGAGGTGGTGTCCTCCTATGCCTCGGACCTCTCAGAGTCTGTCCTCCAGGAGGCCTTCATAGAACTGTCCCAGGCTGATGTTGCCTTCACTACCCAGGCAGCCATTAGTGTCTCTCTGGACAACATCTGCTACGTCAGCGCTGTCGACACACACACCAACTGCAGTACCCCCGCAGGCCACCAGGCTTTCCACGTTAACCCAGCCGAGGAAGGCCCAGGTCTATCAGGGGAGTATGGCTGTACGGTGAAGAAGGCGCTGTTCTGTGTGTCTGGGATAGCCAGCTGTGTACCGGTCCCCCAGGCAGGCCAGGCCATCTCCCACCTCCACGACTCAGAGGAGATCTGCCAGTGTAAGACCAGCCCCAAGAGGAGCTGCAGCTCAGAGAACAGAGTGGTGACCACAGCCTCTTCTGACGCTACTGCTGCCACACAGACTGACCTGCTGCCAAAGACCCCCTTTCACAACTTCTCTGGCAACATGGTGGATATGATAGTGAGTGAAGCATGTGAACTGATGACTGCCTCGAAGATGAAGAAAAAGGTGGAGGACTGTGCCGACTTCCTTTCTAAGACCATAGTGTCTCGGGGACCTCCAGCCGGACAGGAGGGTAGTGTCACTGACCAGACCTCCCTCTCCTCTCTCCACCCTCCCTCTCAGACCCCAGGAGGAGTGACCTTTGAGTCAGGCTCCAAGACCAGCAGAGCAGTCGCTGAGACCCGGCCTGTGATGATGAAGGACACTCTAGAGGTGCCAGGATTGGAGATGGGAGGCAGGAAGATGGCCACTGGCGAGGAGATGGTTCCCAGCCCTGGTCACAAGTCCAACGGGACCCCTGGTACTCCCCCCTCCACCCCCCAGCAGCCCAGTGAGGTGTCCCAGGAGAAACAGATCAAGCAATTCTCCAAGAAGCTGAAAGGGAAGTTGGCCAAGGAGTTCTCTCCTGCCACCCCTCCTCCCACCCCCCATTACCAGCCAGGGCCCGAGCCCAAAGAATCCCCCTCTGAGACAGACAAGGCTGACTTCATGCTCAAACTGATGAGGTCTCTGTCTGAGGAGGCAGACGGGAATGAGGAGGAAGAAGAGGAGGGTGGAGTAGAAGGGGTTAACTCTGGAACTGAGACAGGAAACCGTATGCAGCCAGAGCTCAACCTCTCAGTTGGAGGACACAAGATTGCAGACAAGGGAGCCCTCCATTACGCTGAGCGCCTGGCGTGCCACATCGTCTCCATGGCAACAGAGATAGACACCCTGGGAGGAGTGGAGGATGGAGGTAGAAGGACGGTGGAGGGGAGGGAGGAGAGGAGAGACAGCGTTGCCCAGTTCTCAGCGCATACCCTGAACACGCTGTGGATATACGCTGGTGAGGTGGCGGGAGAGGTGATCAGCGATGTAAAGAGGATAATGTGGTCAGGACAGTGTCGCCACAGTGCGCTCCAACAAGGCAGCCAGGACCAGTCAGGGGAATGTCCTCACCACCACCAACCCCAGCCCAGTGAACACAGCAGGGACTGCAGGGTGGGTCGTTTGGCTGAACAGTGGTCCGGTGACGACCTCTCCTCTGTCCTCCACCCATCCACCTCTACCCCCAGCTCTGGCCTGTCCTCTGACTACCCCAGCTGTGAGAGTGTGACAGATGAGTACGCTGGCTACCTCATCAGGGTGCTAAAGAAAGAGGGAGGCAGCAGGGAGCTGGTCCTGGATCAGTATGCCAGCCGTCTGGCCTACCGCTCCATCAAACTGGGCCTGGCCCATGCTGCCCGTAACATGAAGAAGAGACCCTCCTCCTCCAGGCACCACTCCTCCAGGAGGCTCCACCAGGATGGCTGCAGGGGATCCAATGCCGAGCCATCCGTACCCAGGGACGAAGCAGGGAGAGTGGGATCTCCTTCCAGAGACTTTGACGATGGGAGCCAGAGGGAGTACATGGAGCTGGTGAACTTCGCAGAGTCGTTGGCATACAACATCACCTGTGACGTCACTCGCAAACTCTGTGTGCCGTCGGTCCGGCTACCCAAGTCCCGGACTGACTCGTGTCTGTATAAGAAGTCCAAGCTGGAGTACATGGCAGAGAATATGATCATGAACTCCTTCTCATGCCCCCTGCTGGCCAATGAGGGGATGAGCAGGCACTACCACAGCACAGGCAGCCTGTACGACGGCGGCTACAGCAGTGGAGTCATGGAGGTTAGTTTGGTTTATTTAATATTTGTATTTGAGTAAGGAAAGATACTGTTAAAACATGGAGACATTGAATTAAGAAGCGTCTGATTCATTCTATCATCATTGCATTGTAGCATCACACATCAGCTTGCTCTAATTCCCAGCGTTTGTCTCTGCAGGTCCTGGAGCACTATGCCAGGAACATAGTGGACGACACGTTAGAGATGGTCCTGGCCTCGGCCGGACACCCAGCCCAGCAGGGTCCAGACAGACACTCCCACTCTGAGAGGCTGTCTGAGGGGCAGGCGGTGGGCTCTGCACTGGGGGAGACAACCTGCCGATATTGCCAGGTCAGGAAGTCTCTGATGTTTTTCCAATGGATTACTTATGAGGAACTAGCATCCACCCATTTTTTTTAGGTACAATCCTTGAGTATGCATGCTGTTTGTTATACCAGGTCAGGGAGTGTCCGTTCTGCTCACGGCCCAGCAGGCAGCACCTCCTCGGGGAAGGAGCAGGCCAGAGGAGGAGGCTGGAAGGGGAGGTGGGGGTGTGCGGCCTGGAGATCCCTGAGATCCACATCAATCTTAACCCCAGGGCCGTGTTTGCAGAGGAGATGGTCACTACGGCGATGGAGGGGGCCAAGCGCGAGCTGAGCAACACCAGCCTGAACGCCGACAGCGGGATCGGACACGACGGGCACAGCTTTGCAGAGAGCCTGACTGCCGAGATCATGACGTCAGCGCTATCCAACACATGCCAGACCACCAACATAAGGTACCAATACACTGTGACAGTCTGTGGAAGACACAACACCACCACTCGGTGACTAGCACTAATGTTGCAGAGTGCAAATACATGGGGAGACAATTCCTGTAAGATTCCATGATTGTTCACATGGATTTCCTTATGGTTAACTGCAATGGTTAGTAATAGGTAACGCAATTTCTTGTGACGCACCATATTGGGCAATTCATTTTAGAGTGAGTCCAAATATTTTTTCATTTCCGTATTTGACCAGATTACACAACCATAGTAAAGGAGCCAAGAAGTGATTCACCATCTTGATTACTAACTATAGTTCTCTCACTCCCTATGTTGATACTGTTATCAACTGTATTTCCCTGTATAAAGATTCTTTATTCATGTGTCTGGTTCCCTCTCTCCCTGTCCCTGTGGTAGTTTCCCAGGCAGGGAGGCCACAGAGTCCACGGTGTCCCAGCAGCTCAGTCTGAGTGTGGGAGACGACAGCCTGGGCAGCTGGTCCCGCCTCAGCTTCGAGGACGAACACCCCGACGAGACCAGCAGCTTCCTGCACCTCAGCGACAGGTAGAGAACACACCGAACATCATGTAGTCTCAAACTATTCTGCTCTATTCTTTTAGTTTCTCTGAAGGCTAAATTACATAGATCTAGTCCAGATTAGCTGACTAATGATTCACCTCTTGAAACACTTTTCTATTGTCTTTAAGCACTGTTGTCTCTCACTCTCTCACACCAGCGAATGACTCTAACCCATGTTCAATGTCCGCAGATGGATTGATATATGAGTGAGTAGTAGTGCTTTAGACTATGGTTGTTGCATTCAACCTAGGCTTAAATGAATGCTGAAACTAATGAATGCAAGTCAGTCATCACCGTTTTGGCTACACTGCCAATGAGAAATATATGTATTTTTCAGTCGAGGTCAAATGGTTTTTCCCATGTCGTTTTAAGCTGGCTGTAGTGATTTAGTGATTAGCTGGTTTGATCCTGTGAGACTGAGTTGAGATCGGTACAAGACAGGTTCCTCCATGTTGTCTGTCAGCCTGACGTTAGCAGGCCTCTGGAGGATGTGAGGTCACAGACAGCAGAATGTATGATTTGGGAACCTCTAGAACAGCGGTATTACACTCTTACCAGGTCTAAATCAGTCCCTGGTTAGAGGGGAACAATTAAAAAACACAATGGAACTGGTCTCTAGTAACAGGGTGGGAGTAGAGTTGTTGATGTTCCCTGGCTCAGCCTGCTATCTCTATGGAAGCAGACCCAGTCAACGTGTACACTTCTCTCCCCAGATACTGAAAGGGAGAATGCGTGAGGAGAGCAGCTAGTTACTTTGGCCACCAGGGCCTAGTGAAGGTATCATAATATTTTCTAAAGGTGTGTCTGTAGCAGCCTCTGTCTCTCTCTCTGCCCCTGGCCCTTTCCACAGGAACAAAGTCCATCCATGTGTAATTCATTAGCCTCTCTCTCTCTCTCTTCAAAAGAATTATCCAACCGTCTCCCATTTGTCAACAAATAAACGAAATAACCCAGGAAAGGAAAGGCTCCATTTGTAAAAGTATTCAAACTTGAATGACCTTTCAGCAAACCACTCTCACAAACCACAGCTCCAGGGTCATTAATGAGCTAATAGACATAGGTATTTTTAGATCACCACATCATTCTCTACATACCAGTGCAGGTACCAGCCAGCCTGACAATCAGGACTGATTACAGTGATACAGGGTGTTGTGATGGATGTGGTGCTCCAGTTGCCATCTGGATGTCCCGGTGGAGAATGCAGTGATCTCACATCATTAGCAGTCATCAGTTGTTGCTTTGATTGAAAGTTATTTCAGGACCAAGCCTCACATTTAGATGGATGAAATAAAAATGGATCAGTTGTTTTTGCCAGGTAAGACAGACTTGCTTGATAAAGCTTAGAAAGACCTTCAAGTGTTTCCAACGCCTCAGACAGTGTGTGTGCGCCCAGTGTTAGTGCCCAGTGTTAGTGCCCAGTGTTAGTGCCCAGTGTTAGCGCCCAGTGTTGAGCAGTGGTCTTGTCTCTTGCAGCAATGGGAACAGCAGTAGTTGGAGCAGCCTGGGGTTAGAAGGAGAGGTGTATGAAGAGCACCTGTCCTTCACTCCCTCAGACAGGTCGGTCCTTACATACACACAGCTAAAGGTGCTAATTCTAACCGCTAGTCTCTTTATAGCTCCGGGTAGAAGTTGCCCTCAACCACAGATCTAGGATCAGATCCTATCCCCATATCCTAACCTTTACCATTAAATAAACCATGACATAATCTGACCCTGTGTCAGTAGTTAGGGCCAACTTCTACCTACGCCCCCTAATCACTGCATGATGTCAGAGCTGTAATCAGCAACGCTGTAGAATGTGACTGTGTATGAGACAACAGCTTCTACCCTCTATAGATCCCTCTAGATAACCATAGAGGACAGAGCATGTCTTTGTCACTGTGTGTCGCCACTTTGTCGGCACGCTAGTGGAATTAGCCTAGTCAATGGAATCAGTGTGTGTGTGTGTGTGTACGCGTAAGCCTACTGCATGTGTCCTGAAGTAGGTGTGGGAAGGGCTGAAGCAGGGTTCTCTGTCTGTCTGCATGCTGCATGGCTGAGTGAGAAGCAGACACCCTGACCAGAGCTCTCCTCAGACTCTCCTCAACTAGTGGAAACGGAAGACAACAGACTCATTTAGACCTCCCACCCTAGTCCTGCGGTAAGGGAGATCTAGCCAGTAGACACTACAATGAGGCAGCCCACCCTACTCCAGGAGGAAAGTCATATCTATATGCAGTATATTATTTATCATATAGTATAGGCTAGACAATGGGACAGGTTAATGATCCAAGTGTAATGGAGTCTGTTGTCTGTTGCCCTGGGCTTTGTATTTTACAAGTTTACCGCTTGGCACGTCACACTGTACCAGTCAAAAGTTTGGACACACCTACTCATTATTTTTACTATTTTCTACATTGTAGAATAATAGTGAAGACATCAAAACTATGAAATAACACATATGGAATCATGTAGTAACCAAAAAAGTGTTAAACAAATCAAAATATATTTTATGTTTGAGATTCTTCAAAGTAGCCACCCTTTGCCTTGACAGCTTTGCACACTCTTGGCATTCTCTCAACCAGCTTTGTGAATGCCAAAAGTAGTGCACTATAACCTATAGGGAATTCAGATTTGCTATATGCCAATTTGCATGTTGGGGGTTGTGGTCTGTCTCGCTGTGTTCTCTTGCATGCTGTGTGGCTCCAGAGTCGGCCTGCTCTCCCTCTCTTCTCTTCTCTCTCTCTCTCCCTCTCTTCTCTCTCTCTCTCTTCTCTCTTCTCTCTCTCTCTGCTCTATCTGATCTTTCTCTCACTCTTCTTCATCTCTTTTCTATCTGCTCTCTCCCTCTCTCTCACAGCTCTCTGCTCTCCCTCTCTCACAGCTCTCTGCTCTCCCTCTCTCTCACAGCTCTCTGCTCTCCCTCTCTCTCACAGCTCTCTGCTTTCCCTCTCTCTCACAGCTCTCTGCTTTCCCTCTCTCTCACAGCTCTCTGCTCTCCCTCTCTCTCACAGCTCTCTGCTTTCCCTCTCTCTCACAGCTCTCTGCTTTCCCTCTCTCTCACAGCTCTCTGCTCTCCCTCTCTCTCACAGCTCTCTCTCTCTCTCTCTCACAGCTCTCTGCTCTCCCTCTCTCTCACAGCTCTCTGCTTTCCCTCTCTCTCACAGCTCTCTGCTTTCCCTCTCTCTCACAGCTCTCTGCTCTCCCTCTCTCTCACAGCTCTCTGCTCTCCCTCTCCCTCACAGCTCTCTGCTTTCCCTCTCTCTCACAGCTCTCTGCTCTCCCCCTCTCTCACAGCTCTGCTCTCCCTCTCTCTCACAGCTCTCTGCTCTCCCTCTCTCTCACAGCTCTCTGCTTTCCCTCTCTCTCACAGCTCTCTGCTCTCCCTCTCTCTCACAGCTCTCTGCTCTCCCTCTCTCTCACAGCTCTCTGCTTTCCCTCTCTCTCACAGCTCTCTGCTTTCCCTCTCTCTCACAGCTCTCTGCTCTCCCTCATAGCTCTCTGCTCTCCCTCTCTCTCATAGCTCTCCCTCTCTCTCACAGCTCTCTGCTCTCCCTCTCTCTCACAGCTCTCTGCCATCCCTCTCTGCACTCTTTACCTCCCTCTCTTTTCTCTCTCACTATGTGTCTCTACTATGGTCCTGTGCTGGTCAGTTCTCTTACCAGTGTAATATTTCTCACCCCACAGCGAAGGCACTGAGGACAAGGAGCTTGAGACCAAGGATGAATCCTGCGGTATGACATAGTTACTTCTATCATTAACTGCACCGGATATCGATGGCAAATAGGCTGCTTTATATTCTCTTACTAATTTCTACATTAAGCATTTGATAGTAACTTGGTCCCTATCAGCCGCAAACAGTACATACCTTACCATGTTGCACAGCCACACTACAAACAGAACCACCTTAGCATGCATCTGAGCAGCATGAAAACAGATCCCTATCCTTCTAAATCCTGTGTGGTAATAGTTCCCTGCTATAGGTTAAGAGTGGTTAGACTAGGGGACTTGGTGCTGTGTGTGTCTGTGCTGCTAGGAGGGGAATTCACCCACCGCCCACACATTGTCACACTGCCACTCATTCATTCATCTATTCTGCCTGAGTCTCTGCCTGAGTCTCCCTGTGTATCTGTCTGTCAGACCAGATTCCCCAGTGGGCTGAGGGGTTAAGGCTCCAGGCTGTGTCAGACCCAGGCCCAGCCAGTGGGGGAGGGAGCGTGGGAAACAGGCTTGGCCCACCACCAGAGGAGAGGAGAGGAAACACAGGGAGAGCTGGTTGGGATGGGATATTACTGTACTATAGGGATGACTGTCAAACAGAGACTGGAGTGGGAGGAAGCTGATATCTCTTCCCTCCCCCTCCAGGTGCAGTGCGTGTCGGCCAGGCTCAGGCTTACAGGCTCCTCCTGGTGGTCAACTCTGAGCTCAGGGAGATTACCCCTGACCCACAGCACATGACCTTTGACCCCCAGCTCAGGAGCATGCTGCAGTGGGCAGCGGCCTCCATGGCTGACCTGCCCATGGTTCAGCTGGGTCCTAGTGGCAGCAGGGAGCTGCAGCAGGTGAGTGACCTTAACCCACGAACAAAGGATTACACACACACACACACAGTGGTACCTTAGTTATTACTGAGGTGTGTACTGGTTCCTGCTTGCTGAGCTGTGTTCTGTCTGCTCTTCCAGCTGCCTGCTGTGGTCCAGAGGCTGAAGGAGAGGGAGTGGAAGGTGGGAGAGCTGCTCCAAGCCCTGCTGCGTTACTGTGAGGAGACCCAAACCCACACCCCACCCCAGTCTGAACCCAGAGAGGCGGAGAGAGCACCCCACCACACTCCCCTCTTCCGGTGGCTCCTAGAGCACGCTTAGGCTGACTGCACCTCTCCCCTCCCTCCTTACCTCTCCCCCACGCTGCTTTCTGTACAGTATATCTGTGAAGCCTGCTACATAATGAGCACTACTTGTTAAACTAAACCCTATGAAGATTCCCATCACTTCCCAGTGATGTGCAGCGTACCTGCCAAACCCCGAACTCCAAATCTAGCCTCTTCGTACCGTGGATGCTGTCTCTTATAGGGCTGTACCCCCATCGTTACCCAGAGGGCGCTATAAAAACAGCTATTCTTATTATTGTGTGTGTGTGTGTGTGGGCATATTGCATGTCGTGACTGAAAGCAATTGTGTATTTTCTTCTCTCTTCTCTGGTTTTGTTGTGGTTGTTTTTAAAAGGGATACTTAAAGGGATTTTCTACTTCCTCAGAATCAGATGAACTCATGGATACCATTTTTATGTCTCTGCATCCAGTATAAAGGAAGTTAAAGGTAGTTTTGTGAGCCAATGCTGACTAGCGTTAGCACAATGACTGGAATTCTATGGTATCTACTAGCATGCTAGCAGTTACCTTTAGACTTCCACTCATTGTGCTAATGCTAGTTAGCAATTGCACTAACACTAGTTAGCAGCCTTCTTCAAACTGCACTCAGAGGCATAAAAACGGTATCCACTGGTTTATCTGACTCGTTGCCGAAATCCTAAAGTATCCCTTTAATATTAGTCTGCATATCACATGCATTGATTAGTGTGCTATCGTTGACGACTGCCTTTGCTAAAGCGCTCACACCCTGACGCTACAGAGAGAGAGTAACTTTAACCTCTGTTACAGACAGTAACCTTAACTTCTGTTACAGGGAGAGAGAGAGTAACCTTAACCTCTGACAGAGAGAGCGGGAAACCTGACAGACGGAGACGGAGACGGGGGGAGGGGGAACCTGAACCGTGTTACAGGTAGAGAGCTGGGGGGGTGTAAGATGAAGAGCGAGGCAATCTGGAGAGGGAGTTCAGTGAAAGAGTGAGAGAAAAGTCAGTGAAAGGGAGAGGAGGAGGGAGAAAGAGATTAAGTGAGAGTGTTTTCTGTTAGGGAATCCCCATAGCTGCAGGCCAGATGATGTCATCGCCTTAGTTCACCTCTGTGGTGGTGTTTCCAACACATATACACTCGCATGAATACAAATGCATGTTGATTCTAACCCCCTTTACGATGAGTATAACTGAGTTTAAGATCACATGTCTTACTCCTTTGAAAAGATAATTGTTTACAACATATGACGCCATATGATGTAGAGTGGCCTCAATATAATGGGTTACATTACATGATATCATGTATTTGTACGTGTCCCCCATGTTCTAAGTGTAAAACACACATAATGAACCGAGCAGCAGATTTTTGTTTATCAAACATTTATTCTAAAGGTTGTTTCTAAGATATTTTTATATTTTTAAAGATTTGAATTTAAACATGAGAAGCTGCTCTATTATATGAAGGAAGCCTTGGTTATCAGTCAGCTGTATGTTGCCATTAGCTACAGTAGAAACATCCCACTATAGCGTGCGTGCGTTATCCGTGTGATTGGATGGTTATCTGGAAGGGCCTTGTCCACTGCTGGGAACATCCTATGACACACACACAGTAGATGGCCTAATTAAAGACATGTTCTCAGTCTGCACCTCTCAACCACAACTGACAGGTTTATAGCTCAGCCCACACACAGACACACACACACCCTTTCTCACATCATCTAGTGTGGGCCTAGGGAATCTGACCCCCTCAACTTTCCTCTCTTACCCCCAACACAGAAACACACACACACACCCGGCACTACTCCTGCTATGAATGCACTTTTAGGGAGGTGATGTGAGGATGGGCATTTTCACTCTGGCTGCCCCAGGCCTCTGCCTCCTTATAGATGATACCACAACATGATGACACTTCTGAGTGAGTGGTCCCATATCCTGTTAAGGTTAACCTTAGTCACACAGAGTCAGTCAACCACAGTAGCCAACACACACACACAGACCCTAAAGGAATCTCTGGCGTTATTGTGACACACTGGGATTATTATTAAGGGAATTTCAGACAATGTGAAATTATGGGGATATTGACCATGCTGTGGCATCTCTACGCTGTATTATAAACTGGGTGGTTCGAGCCCTGAATGTTGATTAGCTGACAGCCATGTTATATCAGAATGTATACCATGGGTATGACAAAACATTTATTTTTACTGCTCTAATTACGTTGGTAACCAGTTTATAATAGCAATAAGGCACCTCGGGTTTGTGGTATATGGCCAAAATACCACGGCTAAGGACTGTATCCAGGCACTCTGCGTTGCGCCGTGCATAAGAACAGCCCTTAGCCGTGGTATATTGGCCATATACCACACCCCTAATGCCTTATTGCTTAAATATACCATGGCCTGCCTGCCCACGTTGAACCGTTGAGTTTGCATGGCTGTTCTGCTTCTGACATCACTGTAACAACGGAACAGATTCTAGTTCTTTAACCCTTTGAGGAGTGAGATCTGAGAACTTAGAACACTCTCAGTATTATATTATGGAATTTCACAGGATTGCATTAGCAGGCCTTTGTGCTGTGATCGATTACAACCAGTATGCCTGTATGTACTCCTTAAATGGTTAAATGCTATATTTCTGCACTGTACTATAGCTGTATCATCAGCAGAGCCGATCTTTGTTTAGCAGCAGCATGGCCTGATCCTCATGCTCTTCATCACTTGAAAATTATTATATTGACATGCCTATCTGTGAACGAGCCCCAGTGACACTTCAGCTGTGCAATATCCCCAGTTAAAACTCCCTGACAGCATACAGTACAGACTCCACGTTGTCAAACTCCCTGACAGCATACAGTAGTAGGCCACTGCTGATGCCTTGTGTATTAAAAATGATCCTCTGGGCTGCCAAATGTTGCTGATCCATGCTATATCAGAAGGAAATGTTTCACATACGTTAAGGTTGTAAACACAATGTATCTGAACACTTAAGAATCAAAAGTACTTTAAAAGTTGTAGTAAAAAAAACACATTCCCAAAATGTTTAGGGGAAAAGTAGGTATTAATAGGAGAAAATCAATGTAATCAAAGAGGAATGTATGGAAGAGAGAGTGAGAGAGAGTATAAAGAACCTATAAGAGTTAGCCAACTGCGCCACAGTATAATAACACAGTATCCAGAGTCTCTGAGGGAGATTGAAATATGTTTAGTTGTTGAGTTGTGATAGTAAACATATAGACAGCTCATATCTGTCGGGCCCTCCTGTATTGATCACTGTATTTAGTGTACCTGTACATTCCAATGTTTTCCTTCACAGGCCACCTGTCTGGCCGCCTGCCTGCCGCTATAGTGTGTTATTTAAAGCTGAATGTGCGTCTGCAGAGAAATGACTCCACAGTATCAGATGTACTATCAGGTGTATAAGTCTATTTTGTTACTGTCAATGTTGCAGTGTTACTATCATCCTGTCTTGCACAGCGGAAGGCAACCTGTGTTTACTCGATCCCGTATTTTTCCTGCTTCTTTGTAAAATCTTGTAAAATAAGATATTTAATGCTAATTTATATAAGTTATAACAGTCAGTACACTACTAGTCTCCTTCTAGTGACATTGCAAAAAAGTTCACACATTCTAAGCTTGACGTTTAAACACTATTTGTCATTATTTAAGCTGTGTCTAACAATAAAGCTTTTTCGTGTGCTCTGGTATTCCGATTCTGCCTAATTACCTACCTAGTATACCGATTGTTTTGTGTGATGTAGAGAATGTTGTCACTTATAGGCTATGCTAGAAATCATTATCAAGTATACTATCTGTAAGACTTGCTTTTGGTCTTGCATACACCTGGTCCAGGTGTTTTGGGCTTCTTTGGGGGGGGGGGGGGGGGTTTTCTCAGAACCGCCATTCGAACAAGCAGTCACTTCACTTGTGTCATGTCAACGGTTGTACCACAGAAACGGATCATCTGTAATTCTAGGAGGAAACAGTGAGATTACTTAACCAAGCCAAACCCTTCTGTTCCTGACAAGTGTTTTTGTACGTGGTTATTCCTCCTTGCTGCCACACAGACAGCCATTGTTGGTACTGTATGTAATTACACATGGTTTCCCTCCCATCCATCCATCTGTAATTAGGCATTAGTGTTACAGCACAATGCTGAGGGCCTGTCAGTGTACTGTTCTGCCTCAAGAGCCCTGAGATGAATGGTAGCTAGTGTCTGTCTATCTGACAGGAGGGGGGAGAAAGCTAATTGCAGACTTATCGCTGTGATATACAAGCTTTGGAATGTGACAGAGAGACACATCTCTGATCTCTGCCAGTCAGAGAAGCCTGGATTTTCAAGTTGGACCAAGTGAATGAACTCGTGCTGCAATGAGGACTTCCCTATCTTTATCATAGTCTTTTGTCAGCACCTCATGTTTTAGTGTGTCCACTCTTTAGTTATTTGATCATGGGCATCTGACTCCCTCTCAGGGCCTGAGCGGCGCATGTGCAACCAACTGAGCTATTGGAACCACAAAGTTCTGTTAGTCAGCACTTCCTCCTCTCCGGTGCGTGTTCAGTATTTCCTTATTTACATTATTGACATCTGACTCGTTATCAGGCTGTGACTGGTGTGGTCTGCCTCTGACATCAGACAGGCTGGGCCCGGCCTGGAATCCACCCCTGGGTCGGCCGTGATTCAACAGCCCAGTGACATCACTTCCCTCCCTACACCAACAAATGGCAAGGTTGTGGGGAGAGACCACTGGAGAGGAGGAGGGGGTTTAAGTCAGGCCTATGGAATCCATGACATACAGGCTCATGGGGTTTGTGTCTGAGAGGGGAACTCCAGCTACATCATCTATTCATCTTTTTAAATTATATTTTCCTTTATTATTTTCCAGTAACCCTACCACCCCTCCCCTAATTGGAGTAAACTAATGAACAACAACACGTAGGCTTTTACTTCCAGCTTATACATACTATATACATTTTACGGACACAATCTATTTTACAATAGTTATCTTTTG